AAAAAAAAAATGTCTCAGTGGTAAGACTTCCGTGATTGTTTCTTCCCCAATTCTCAGGAATACTGCTCATTTGTTATGTTTTAGGTTTTTCCATATGTTGGTATTTTATGGGTAAACGATACCAAAGTTTATTAAAAAAAAATCAGTGGCAACATATTTTATAAAAGTATATACCTGACTACAATGAAGTATTTACATATATAAAGTGTGCTACCTAAATAAATGTAAAACATGATACAAAATGAATATGTATTTTATTAAGGTTAAATCATTATATCTACTATTTTATGAAAGTAATTTTCGATTCACAAAGATTCATCTCTTCATACCCTAAATTATTCTTACTTTTTCTATCATGATTTTCAGCTCATTACTGAAAATAATAGGACAACAGGTATTTGTTCACATGCAAAAAGAGATATCATCAATATTCTATTCATTTTATAACAGTTTCATAATTTCATCTTGCATGAAACTGCTATTTAGGAATTCCATCCACACTGACGGTTGGTAAGTTACTGAAAAATCCACTTTATATGAGATGACTTAAAAATAGGTGTGGCTATTATGTTATATTGAAATTAAATAATGTCAAACTATACTTTGAGGGGTTGCTATATTAGAATTTGGGTACAAGAGCCCATATCATCCTTACTACAGCAGAAAATGCAAATATGAATGACAGATGTACTTTTTGATTTTTAGCAGATTTTCATCTTTAGAAACATACTACATGTTAAATTAAGATCTTCAAAATTACATTCTATTCTCAGGTTGACTGAAAATAAAGATAGGAGGGATTAATGAACTGGTCTTGATGACAGAAAACAAAGATTACAGGATTTATTAGCATAAACAGTCCCCTCCCTCTTTTTACTCACTAGAAGTCTGTCATCCAAGGTTCATTTGGTAAAACTCATGTAGTACAGGTTTATTTGTTTACAAAACCTGTACTCATGTAGTACAGGTTTATTTTGGCAGGAGGTATACCCAGACTAAGATAGTGACTGATTTCACTCTAGTCAGTAAAATATCTATTTATTGAATGTGTTCAAAATAACTTCAAGTTCTTAACCAAAAAAACTAGTTGGATCCAAGTGATTGAGGCCTTTTGTTACTCACATATGCTTGAATAGGCTAAAAAAATTTGAATATACAGACCAGAAAAACTTTCAGAATGAATAAATTGTACTGTATAGTGTTAACAAAATATTAATAGAAAACTTGTGGAATATGTAGATGATTTTTCAATTTTTTATTAAGATTGGCCTTAATAAAAAGGCCTTTTTAGGATATTTATATAATCCTCAAGGAATCTTCCCATCCTTGTCATAGTCTAGAATCAGTTCCTTTCACTCACTGCTGGGTTAATAAATATGCCAGGAACTATTCCAGGAATTGAGATTAAAACAGTGGCAGAGGCCCTCCCTGGTGGCGCAGCGGGTTAAAGCACAGCACTGAGAAGCTAAAGCCGGGTCCGCATGAGTTCGATTCCTGCCTGCCCCGGAGGTGACCACATGGCGTGGCAGACCTCTCCTGACCCGCCCACTGCAGTGTACTTCCTCGATTTGCCTGTTCTGCTCCCCACTCTGTCTCTGGTGAAGCCTCTCGCCACCCCTAAACCTATAGCCTGTACCCCGGTTCTGTATGTATAAATAAATATTTAAAACAAACAAACAAACAAAAAAAACAGTGGCAGAACAGGTAAGATCTTGGTTTAGAAGAGCCAAGCACAAAATACATAAGTCAGGTGAGCTGTTAAGACAGCAAGGAGCCTACCTGTGGTGCAACCATAACACACACCCATAGTACATTTTGAGTTACATGATTAAATAAGTAGGGAGGTTGATTATGTGGTTAGGCTGTCAGTTTGAATTCCCATATCTGGAGTTTAGTTTATCAGTGAGGGCTTTTAGTCAATGCAGTGATTCTCATTTCTTATCAGTTTGTAAATTCATCCTCAATTGAAACAACTGCACAAGACTTATTTCTAGCATAGCTCTGTTTCAGTGAATTTTTCCAGCTGCGGAAAAGACAAGATTCTCTTTCACATTCTATGTATAAATGCCCCTAAGCTGACAGCGGATTTTATGTGGGTCTGAATTTACATTATTTTTCAGGCTTAGTGCTGCATTAAAGAATCAACTATCATCTTGTTAGTTGACCAAGTGCAGATGAGGACCCCCAAACTTGCATTCTCTGAAGGGGTCTGGCTATGCTTACGCATAAAGACAAAGCAAACATTTGGTATGAGCTCTTTAATAAGAATTAGTGGGGAGGAGAAGTGCGGAAAGAGTTAAGGTTGGCCAGACAAAGGGCCTCTGAGGATGAATGGCTTGCTACAAGTTTAAGGCGCCTTCTGTTGGGGAGTCATACTAAAAAGAATGGCTTGCTACAAGTTCAAGGAGCCTTCTCTTGGGGAGCCATAGAAAAAGGGTTCAGAAGGAGGTCCCAGAAAAACAGGAAAAAGGAGATTCCCAAGTCAACAGCTACCATTCCCCGCCTCCCCATATCTCTTTCATCCAAGTGTCTCTTCTAAGTGTCTCCACAAGTCTCTCCACCAAGCCCGGTGGCTCCTTTTGGATTTCCTTCCCAGTAACGCCACGGAACAAAGGGGGCCCCAGGAACAAGAGAAGGACCTTTTATTTCTATCTTACATATTACTTAGCTTTACTTGGCCACCCAGCTGTGCCCATCATTAAGTGAGGCTGGGAACATATTACCTCCCCTTTCTTGGCCATATGTCTTAACAACTTCATCTGTTTTTTTTTTTTTTTTTTTTTTTCCCAGCAAGTTAAGGGCTTAACTTTGATTCCCACTTAGTGTATGTTCCGCTTATCTCCCAGTTATGTTCAACACAGAAGAAACAGTATCTGACATTCTAGATCCTGACAATTCTGAAGATTGTACTTGTCTGAATCCAATTCCCACAATCTAAGTTTCAGGTTGGCCCTAACATAAAGGCTCCAACGGGCCTGTGCCCGGCCCGCAAAAAAAAAAAAGCAGGGCGCCGGCTGTGGGTGGCGGCTCCCCAGCAGCAGCGTTTCCACCGCGTCGCTAAGCTTTCCTGAGTAGAGCGAAGTACGACAGCCCTGCCCCC